AGAAAAGGAGATAAAGGCAAGGGTTGGGGCTCTGCATAGTTGACAGTGTAGGTAATCCTGGTCCTAGTCGAGCACCAGTCTAGCTGATCATTGTCTTGGGAGCAATCTGGTTCTCCTTCGATGATTGCTCCTGCTTTGGTGGGGAGCATGGGATGGGGATGCATGGGATGGTCTTCAAGGCTCTGCTTTTCCTGGAATCCAAGGTGACTGCAGATTTAGAACAATGACTGGAGACTTCTAGGTGCCGTTCCAGGAATAAACTGGCAATTCAATGCCCACAAAAATCTTTCTTTTTTTTCCTCCGGAACTGGGGACTGAACCCAGTACTGTTGGTGTATTCCTGGCTTTTTTTTTTTCTTTTTTAAATTTTGAAACAGGTCTTGGTAAATTGCCTGGGCTGGGCCCCAACTTGCCTAGGATTCTCCATCTCAACCTCCAGAGTGCTGGGATTATGGGTTTGTGTCACTATGCCTGACTGTCCCTACAAATCTTGAAAATGCTATAATTACTCTTAGCTTGATGTCCTCAGTATTGATATGGGAGGAGATAAGATAGGTAAATTTAGGGCTAAAAAGCCTTGTACTACGCACTAGTTTTTAGACAGACATGCCTCAAGTGATTAATATTCCTATCTGCAAAGCTAAGCAGGAATCTGAGCCAGAGTTTTAAGATAATAAAGGAGTCAGATACAAAAAATGAAGGTAGAGATGGCAAGCTTTGTTCTGCTCTTGGTTACCCACTGGGCATCTGAGGCCCAGCTTCAGGTCCCTGTTACGGTCCAGTTCCTCAGGGGACTGACCAGGAGAATCACTTGAGCCCAGGAGTTTGAGACCAGCCTGAGCAACATAGCAAAAACCCAACTCAAAAACAGTAGCAGCTGGGCACTATGGTACATGCCTGTAATCCAGGCACTTGGGAGTCTGAGGCAGGATAATCTGTGAGTTTGAGGCCAGCTGGAGCTACATATGAGTTCAAGGCTAGCCTGGACTACTGGACTACATAGTGAGATCCTGTCTCAGAAAATCAAAAAACAAACAAACACCAGCAATAAAAAGTTTCAAGCCCTTTTGAAACATCTATTGAATAATCATAGATTCTGTTTACTGAGAGTCCATTGGGCACTGGGCTTTTCTCTTAGGCATTTGGTGGGGATTATCTCATGACACCTTCACATATGAAATGAGTTATTCCAGTTTGGTTTGGTTTTGTTTTTTAGTACCGGGGATCGAACTCAGGACCTTGTGCTTGCAAGGCAGGCAACGGAACCACTGAACTAAATTCCCGGTCCTTATTCCCATTTCATAAAGGGAACAACCCAAGCCCAGAGAGTTTAAGACACAGCCAGAGAGCCCATGTTATGTTCTGTGGCTATATTGTGAGAAAACAAGATGCTTATTGCAAATAATTCTATTCTGTCCTCTGGAGACAGCCGGATCCCCTGAAGATAAGAAAGGATCACTTCCAAAGCATGCACTGCTCTGGAATTCTCCTGGGTTCAGAGGCAGTGCCACCCCCAAGTTGGTGAGATTAAGAAGCAACCTGATGGGCTTCGGCTGCTGAACTTGGCTGCCAGCTCATGAAAGCCAGCCTGGCGCTAGACCTGCGGTAAACCCCTGCAGCTGAGTCACTGCTTATGAAGGAAAGCACATGACTGGGCAGAAGTGAATGCGCACGGGTCATCTGAGCTCTTTCACACCCACAGGGGCAGCTGGACATCTGTATACCCAAGGCAATACTACACACACGTGCTCATACACACACACACACACACACACACACACACACACACACAGCCTCCCAGCATTTGTTATTCAGCCTGATGCTGGAAATTCCCAGCCATTCACTTCTATGTTTTTCTGTCTGGCCTCACCCTTTTAGGGAAGGTACAGATGAGAGAAGAGGAAATGAGAACAAAGGGCAGAAGGGGAGAAGGCTGAGAGTAGCTACTGCCCGCGGGACTCTGGTAGTCTGGGGGTGGGAGCAGAGTGGCCTAGTGCTGTGGGCTCTAAAACACTGGAGAGGAGGCAAGTCCACGCCCCCCCCCCCCCTTTGGAGGGCAGAGCAAAGTGGAGCCAGGAGAGGAGAGGGGAAAGGGGCTGCAGTTGGAAGGTTCGAATTCTCAGGCTCCTACTCCCCAGTCCAAATTCAGTAGGCCTGAGGCGGGGCTCAGGACTCTGTACTTTTAAGAATCATAGCCCAGCTTTGCCACTTAAATGTGACCCCAAGCAACTGCCGCACCCTTTGAGAGGCACCCTTTGAGAGCCTCCCTTTCATCGCAAGAAAGATAAGGATCCTTGTATACAAAAAAAAAAAAATTAGCACACTGTCTTGTATAAGGACACACATAAATGATGGCTCCCATTATTATATCTAAAATTATAACAAGGACATCAAGGCTGGACCTATAGATCTCAAGGGGTAACTAAAAATGAGAAAGCTTGGCATCCTTGCCTTTAGTTTACATCTGTCTCTTTTATTATCTTAAAAACTTTGGATGAGGTCCCTGCTCAGCTCTGCATGTAGCCATGTTAATTACTTAAGGAATGTCTGTTTAAAAACCGGTAATACAAGTTTTATTAGCTCTAAGTTATTACTTAGCCTATCTCTCATCCTCCTTCAAAGCTAAGAATAACTAAAGTGACTTTCAGGATTTGCAGAGACAACCAATTGTCAGCTTTTACAATATCCGGTTCCAGGACTTCTGGAGCAATGCCTAGAAGTCCCCAGCCACTATCCTAAACCTGGACTCCAGGAAAAGGAGAGCCTCAAAGACCACCTCATGATGAGACCATGCCCAAACAGGAGCAGCAAGCCCATGGGGGGAACAGAGCTACCTCTCAAGGGGAGATGGGGCTTCTATAACCTCACAGAACCAGTTGGTGGGGAGTCCCACCAACACAACCATGGCTTGACTAAGGTTATCTACCCTGCCAGCTATACCAGCCCCCAACCTTTGCCTTGTCCTCCTTTTCTGTAAAACCTCAAAGCTCCTGTCATGCCCTGGAAGCCAGATCTTGAATCTCTTCATCTGTCCTCCTTACATGGCCTCCGTGGTTGGCGTTTGGCATGGGTGGCTGAGCCTGGGCCACTGGGACCGCTGGAGAGGAGACATTCACCTTAAATCTCCAGAGACAGTATATAATAATGGCCCCCTCCAAACTCTATTAGTGGTAGGGATTACTTCGGCTAAGACCAGGTCTGTAACTGAAAGAGAAAATGAAAACGCACAAATACTCCATGATCCCTGGGGATCAACTCTGAACCAGAGCACAGGTTTCTCCCACTCCTTTCCTTTTTCTGAGCCCCTGGTAGAGGCTTCCATCTTCCCTGAGAATGGGATCAGAAGGCAGGGACAGGGCTCATCATCGAAAAGCTCTATCGGTGCTTCCTGCAGCTGGTGGGTGGTGTGCAGGGGGCTGGGGCCAGGCTGACATCGAAGGCTCCTTCACGGGGAGGACACTGAGTCTGGGGGAACAGGCAGACCCCCCCTCACTGCAGAGGGGGACCTGGTTCTGCCACCTGCGCAGGGGCAGCAAATGCAGATTTCTGCCGGAACCACACACTCAAATGTCTATGGGGCAGGACAGGTAGTAATGAGGGAGGGTAAAAGAAATAAAGATAAGTTCAATCCCCGGTACCAAAAAAAAAAAAGAAAATAAAAAAAAGAAATAAAGATAGAAAGGAGACAAGGAAAATCATAATTTTGAAGCTGTACTTTTAAGAAAAACTACAGCTTCAGGATACAAAAGTTACCCAAGGTGGTCTTACTTTTTTCCCTTCCAGAAACTCACTCTGAAAAAAATTCTTCTTTGGGCCTGGGATTTAACTCAATGGTTCCACCACCTGCCTTGCAAGCACAAGGTCCTGAGTTCGATCTCTGGTACCAAAAAAAATATTATTCTTTCCTAAGGGTCTTAAAGATACCCTAAAACTGTGCACTGGGGCCCTGCAGAGGAAGCAGTGTGATTAAGTGGACAGCAGGTCTCTACATCTCAAATATATGCAAATGTTTCTAAGCTAGCCCACCAAATGGCCTGACAGACAGTAAGAGCTCACATTCTAGATAACCCATCCTGAGGACACTCCCAAGGTTGCATAAAATCCCGACCCAGTGCGCTTCTCCCTTCCGAGTGTGTACTTTATTTTTATTTATATTTATTTATTTGTTTATTTATTTATTTATTTATTTTTGGTACTGGGGATCGAACTTGGGTCCTTCCACTTTCGAGGCAGGTGGTGGAACTACTGAGCTAAATCCTCAGCCTCAATATTTTTATTTTTATTTGGTACTGGGCAGGGGATTTAGCTCAGTGGTTCCTCCACCTGCCTGGCAAGCTCAAGGTTCCAAGTTTGATCCCCAGTACCAAAAAAAAAAAATGAAACAAAGTTCCTTGGTGATGTTTTTATTTGGTACGGGAGATCAAACTCAGGACCTTGCATGTGGCACCACTGAGCTAAATCCCTAGCCCTGAGTGTGTACTTTAAATTCTGCCCCGTAACCCTTTCCATACCACTCACTGCTGTGTCCCAAGGGCCTTTCCTGTGATGTAAGTCAGTGAACTTACAAGCTACCCTGTGGGTGGGCTGAGTTGAAGTCCCCATCTCTTCTTTCAGGGACCTTCTTGGACTGGTCTGGTGACAGGAAGATGAGGGAAGCCAGCAGAGTGAGAGAGAAGAAATTGTGTGCACATCATGGTCTGTCTTTCCTTGACCTACTTTTAATGGAGATTTGGGCTCTAAGAAAAATATCCTCACCATGAGAAAAACAAGACACAGATAGCGACAAATTCTGAGTCCCACCAGAATCTCACACCCACATTTACACAGGCCCAGAGAGGTAAATGCATGGGCTTAACGTCACACAGCTGAGCTCACCCTCGGTACCCCTTTTCCTGCTAATTGTAAAAGCTCCTGCCCCTTCTGCTCCAGGAAGACTGGGGACAGGGGTCTCTCCAACCTCTTCCACCCCTGAGGCCTGCCCCAGAGAAAGCACATTTATGTAATTCACAAGACTTTTAAATTTTATTAGTAAAATACAAAATGGCACAAACAGTGGTAATGAGAGTTGAAAAAGCAGAAGGATCAACCAACCCTTTCAAAGTCCTCCCCAGATGGTCACTGTCCATGTCCTTCGGGAGGAGCTAACAAAGTCTGCAGGAAGGGGACCTCATAAAGGAGGGGTGTCCCAACCCTTGAAGGCTCTCCTGGTCTGGCAGAACCGGAAGCAGAACAAAGTGCATTTGAACCTGCCCTCCCCCCAGGCCCCTCAGAATGACCCCGAAACATGCTGTGTGGGAGAGCAGGCAGAGGGGTTTCCTCTCTCTGAGGGCCAGAGCTGTTTTCCTTTTCTGAAGAGGCACCTGCCAAGGACTGTGTCATCGACACCTGGGTGCAGCCCAGCCCATGAGAGGCTGTGCAGACAGAGGGCAAGGGTCACTCTTGGGAACAATCAGAAGAAATGGCAGGCTGCCACCAGGAATCCTGAGGGGCAAGGTCTGCAGGTCCAGCTCTGGTTTTGTGTGCTGGCCACCTCCAGGTCTGCCCTAGTCTTCAGCAGCTAGAAAGGGAACCCAGAATTTTTTGCCCACAATCCCCCCTCTCCCAGGACAGAGACCCTTCCAGAAATACACACAGGACTCCAGGGAATATCACAGACATTGCTGGTCCTGCCTTTGGTGGGGCAAAGGAAAAGGCAAAGTCTTGGAGTGCAAAGAATGGTGCCTTCATGGAGCGGACGGAGGGAGGTGGAAGGGGACCCAGGTAGGAGGAAAGAGCATGGTTGTGTGGGCCACAGCAAACCCACTGCTGCAGGAGCCCCTAAAGTGCTTTCCCATGCTTCTTTCATGGGCTGCCTCAGCCTCCTGGGGCCTGATGCCCTCCTTTCTCCCTTGGTGGTCTCTCTGTCAGGGAAGACCTGGGGCTGTCACCTTGTTGGGGGGGGTGGGTCTGCCAGGACAAGGAGGAGCCTTCACAGTTGGCCTCTGCTCCTGCAGGTCCCCCAGAGCTCAGGGCAGCACCTGCACTGCCACATCACCCCTTGCCAGCCCTGAGTCACAGGAAACAGGTGCCAGCGTGATGGTCGGCAGTGAGTGTCCGAGGTGTTTGGCTGATGAGGGCTGGGAGGCCATGTCCAGGGACTGAAAGGAGAGTCTCAGTAGTGATCCAGGGGTACAGGTTATTGCCGTGTATCTGCCAGCCTTGTTAGGTGGGTGGTGGAGCTGAGGCCAGAACCCCAGCCTCACACTCAGTGTTCCTTCACTGCACAGCCAGGACAGAGGAGGAGGACACCAAAGCCACCAGATGACCTCATCCCCCTTGCCTCCATGTAGAGTCTTCCCTAGGAGCACCCCAGAAATGCCACGCCAGCCTCATGCAAGAAAAGACAGGGATCCAGTGGGGGTCGGGATGGGCTCTGTACAGAAGAAATGTAGATAGCACCGCAGCTGGCCGGGGTGACTGGCGACTGCAGCAGGAGCAAGGGACATGAAGAGGTCTGGGGAGCAGGCAAAAGAGGCCTGGCCTGTTGCTCACTCATGGAATGGGAGGACCTTGGAGCTCACAGGGAGGCACAGGCCAGGGAAGTAGGTGCTGAGCATTCAATAAATAATTGTGCACTGGGGCTGGGACAGTGTCAAAGGGAACCTCTAACCAGCCAGAGGCAGAGTGGAATTCTCAAGTTTGGAGTTGGAGGCTGCCCCTCTCTGGCCCTGATGGGTTGAGGATAGTCAAGGGTGACCTCCTAGGCTCCACCTGGGGTCTTGGAGCCATTTGCACCTGGAGGATCCCACCTCCCCATTCCCTGTACCCCAGCTCAGCCAGGCCCCTGGGTGAGGGTGGGTATGAGGATGGGGATCCCCAGGCAGCTGTCTGAATCAAAACTGGACACAAGCAAATGGATAGCTCACACTGGCACCAGCACATAGGAGTTACTGCCACAGCTCCGGGGGACGTATCGAAGGCCTTCCACCATCTCCCCTGCCATCTTTCGGGGGCAGCCCTGGAGGCTCTGGTAGGCAAACATGGCCACACCCAGGCAAAAGAGGAGACCAAGGAAGGCCAGCAGCCCTACCGCCTGCCTCCGAGTGGCTGCCTGGGTGTCGGGAACAGGAGTGATAAGGACCTGCCTCTGGGGGTCCACGGTGGCGTGGATGGGGTTCTCAGTCTTGGGAATCAAGCTACCTAAGGCCACTGGCTCCTGGCTGGGAGTCCCTTCAGAGGAGATGGGGACCACAGAAGCATGGGCCATGCTGCTGGGCCCCCAGTCCTCAAAAGCATCTGTGTGAGCAGGGGGACCCCTCTCCTTAGGCCCAACAGAGCTCTGTGGACTGGGCATCTGTTCCTGTTTCCACACAGGTTGGCCTTCTGTGGTTGGGTGTGAAGTAGGGGGGGTCTGGGTGGAGGGGGGCTCAATGGTGGGAGGCGGGGTAGAGGGGGCCTTTTCCTGAGCCCCGGGGCTGGAGCCAGATTGGTAGGCAGCAGACCTCTGCTGAGCAATGGCGGTGGAGACAGAAGCTGTGCTGAAAATCTCTGTGTCTCCATCTGGAGCCTTTGAAGTGGGGGACACCCTGGTCCTCAAGGATCCAGTCACTCTTACTGGCAGCTCTGGAGAAGTCTCCATGGGCCTCTGAGTTCCCTGGGAAGAAGCAGTGGGCTCCAAATTACTGCTTTCCCCTGTGGCTTCAGGCTCTGTGAGCGAAGGCTGGGACATTCCCTGGGCGGCGGGGGTGGTCTCGGGCTTCCCCACATGCTTCTCAAACTTGCCGCCATTCGGAGTTGTCGGAGCAGGAGTTTGGTTGTCTATGTGCACCATTGCTTCTTGGACCCATTTCTCCCTTGGGTCAGCACAGAAGAATCTGTGCCTTTTGGTCTCCAAGCTACAAGAGAGGAAGACAGGGGCCTAGTGATGACCAGATAGCAAAAAGCCAGGCTGGCATGGGATGGGCAGAGCACACAGGCCCCAAAGGAAGGCAGGAAATCCTATTACCCACCCGCTAGCCTGAGGCCTGGGGCCATGCCACCTCCTGGGGCTTGAATCTTCCCTGGGACATGGACATAGGAATACCTGCCGTGTGGAGGGGACCGACCAACCATACCAGCAAAACTGGGACAGACGGCACCCTCAGGATGAAAGGCTTTCCCTTTCAAAGTCAGAAAAATACCAGGCAAATGGGGACAGGTTGGTCATCCTATTTTCGTCTCATTTTTTAAAAAGAAATAAGTTATGTAAAGAAAGCACTCAGTCCAGAGCTGCCAGTGCTGTGGAAAAAGCTGAAGAGAATAACAATGTTAATAATCGCATTGCTGCCACCAAGGCAGAGGCTCTGGGCTGTGCACCTCCTGGTTGGGAGGGGGCACCCATTATTCTCTGATGTCAGGTGTGTTACAGGTGAGCTCCATGCTGGGACGTCCTACTCTGAAAAAGACCCCATGTCACAAAGTCTTGTTTCTCCTCTCCTTCAGTTTCGTGGCCATGGCTCCCCTTCTCTGAGTGCGTGTTCTTCGGCTGAAGAGGCTTCCAGGGAGCTAAAGCCATATATACAGCGGCTCCAGTGGGACCCTGAGTGTCGTCCATATCGTGGCTTCCTCTGAAGCTGTGTGTGGCTGGCTCATCCCAAGACAGTGGAGCTGACTGGGCTCCATGTCACACCCTGTTCAGGTCACATCCATGCTACCACACTCATGGCCATTGTACAGCCATTCCCCATGAGGAAACTGAGGCTCAGAGAGATAAAGCCAGTGTGCCTGGCTCAGGTATGCTGGAAAACTAGAGAAGTTCTGGAAGACAGGGTGACATTGCAGGCCCCTTCAAGGGCTTTCCTACTTCCCCTTCACCTAGAAAATAGAAGCAAATGCTTGGGAGTGTGTGGTAGAAGAGACACTTAACTGGTGAACAGCAAGGTCAGCAGGGGCACGCTTGGGAGAGCTGCACAATTGAGGAGAGGAAGTGCAGGCCTTCCGTTAGCAGAGCCCAATTTGTCACAGGCCGAGGTCCACTCTCTACTGCCAGGCCTGGGGCTAAGCTGAAGCTACTCAAGGGCTCAGGTAAATGTGAAGTAACCACCAGGAGCCCCAGGAGGAGCAGGTGACCAGGATGGCCAGGGGTCTCCAATGGAAACAGCTGGAAACAGCTCAGCTCAACCCTCCAGTCCCACAGGACACCCCCCCACACTTCCTCTTTGGTCCAAAGGAGATAAGGATCCTGCAGCTTCCAGGCACTGTGCCAAGCGTTGTAATCATCTCTTCTTCCAGCCTTGTGGCTACCCATTTTACAGATAAGGAAACTGAGGAGTGGAGGTTAAGCAGTGTGACCAAGGATACCTGGCCAGAGCTTGTCCCCATGTGTTGGAGCCTGGACTGAGCGCTGTGACCACCACACAGCACCTCCCTGTGACATCCAGTGGGCTGAGGGCTGTGTGCAACACACGGCAGCCCAGAGAGAATTAGCTCCTGTGGTGGCTGCCCCAGGTCACAAGTCAGCCACACTAGCCCGTGCAGGAAGCCATTTCCCATCTTTAACATGCAGTACAGATAGTAAGGTCAGCAAAGTGGCCTTCAGGTCAGGAGGAAAGGGGACATTTGCCGAGGCCTTTGGCTGGGAGCCCAGGGTGAGGCGGGTGGGTGTGGACATGGATCATTGGAGGCCTGAGACAATCCGGAGGAACCAATGGGGACTGGAGGGACCACAAGGACAGCACTTACATGATGGCAGGCTTGCCGCAGGAGACCTGGTTACGCTGATAGTGCAGGAGTAAGCCCTTGGGAATCTCAGAGGCCATCTTGTCACAAATAATCTTGCATTTCGTCACACCATGGTGCTGTCCTGAGGCCACAGAAGTCCCTGGTCAGTAGGGCTGTCCATGAGCCCTTGGCTTCCCGTCCCCATGCTGGCTTATCCTGGCCACACCACCCCAAGCCAGCACCCACGCCCCACGTGCTGGCCTCCTAGGCCTAGAGCTCAGCCCCCTCCTCCCAACTCTGCTAGGCCTCGTTTCCTGTGAACAGGGACAGTGACAGTATCCCCCTCCCAGTGTTGTTTCATATTCAGGGATTTCCCAGCCTTGAAGACACGCCTGGACCTCTGTCCATCCACGCCTCCTATGCTGACCTTATTACATGTGTGCACACATGCCGACAAACACATATATGGTTTGTTTGTTTTTGAAACAGGGTCTCAATATGTAGTTCAAGACTTGAACTCCGTGATTCTCCTACCTCAGCCTCTCAAGTGCTAGGATTACAGGCATGTACCACCACGTCTGGCATATATATATGGAACATGATGAAAAACATATAACCAGGCACATGTAGCACATAACACAAATTTTAAAACGTGTAAGTACAGCTACCTTCTAAGAAGGTGGGCCCTACTGAAGAGACGTCCCCTTTGTTTGGCAGAATGAGTATGAGAAAAAGAAGAGGCATTTGGAGTCTCCAGAGCAAGGGAAATGAGGGGTAGAGGGCAGCTATGGAGTGGGGGCAGGGTGCAGAGGTCAGGGCATACAAATGGCTGGGTAGCAAGTGGAGCCAGAGAGAAACTCCAGGCCAGGGCAGGGGTGACTGTGTCACTTATTTGATAGAAACATTTGAAGCTGTTTGCATCCTATTTCCTTCTCTCCCCTTCCTCCAGACACTGCAGCAGAGTTTTGTCTTCCACTTGGTTATGCACAGGGAAGATGGATGTAATGAGACAGGTTGGACTTGAGTTTCACATCTGGGTCAAGGTTATGTCCAGCAACTGCCAGAGCCCATAGAGTTTTGCAAATATCTAGAAACCAGGACTTCCAGGGCAGTAGGGTGGAAAGACCAAGCTTCAGGGACTGGGAAGCCCCCAGCTGGTCCCTGGCTTCCACCAAAACATACGATATTCATGCACAGAGACCTGTGCGTGCAAACACACTCCACCTTCCTGAATACAGGTGTGCGTGTGCACACCCACAGACCTCCTAGGCTGCAGCCTCCTCTCCCCAGCACGCCCTTGGCCGTGGCCCACCCCACCTGTGGGGAGGGTGGTTGGGGCCTGCAGTCTGGGCTGGGTCATCAAGGGGCAGCCTAGTGGTTCCTGCGGTGGGCAGGAGGGGCTCCCCAAGTCACCAGGCTGCCTTCAATCTCTGAACCAGGATATGAGTCACCATGCAGACTTGTCACTCTCTTTCCCCAGTGGGACCTCAGAATGACTCAACCACAGTGTCCCCAGGCCTGGGCCAGATGGCAGCCCCTGAAGCCCCCTGACAGGTGTCTTCCTGGGGAAGCCTCAGGAAAAGTGGTGTCCCTGCGTGACCCGAGATAGGAGGAGGAGAGGAAGCTACATAGCAGGAAGGAGGGAAGCCACTGTATCCAGGAAAGGGAAGGCGACTGCCCACCTTGAGGGCTGTAAAGAACTACAAAGCCATCCGGTCCCCAAAGTCCCTACCCTCTGAAGGGTCTTGGCTAGGTCCAGTGCTGGCTCTGCCACTAGCCTTGCGAGTCCTTTCTCTTTCTCCTTCTCTACCTTCATCCAAGCCAATCCATCCATCCATTTATCCATTCATCCACCCCTCCATTCATTCATTCACGCATCCATCCACTCATCTGTCATCCATCCATCCACCCCCTCCTGTCATCTCCTGTTCGTTCCACACCCACCTCTCTACCTCCTACTCATTCCCTATCCCCCCACCATCCATCTGCCCATCTCCGGCCCACCTACTACCTGTCCATGCTCCGGTCTACTTTAATCTCATCTGTTCGTCCATTTCATGTCAGCAGCCCATTCATCCATCCATCCATCTCTCTCTCCTGACTCAGCTAACACTCACTTGAGTGGCTGTCGAGCACATACACTAAGGCCTCTTAAACCCAGCTCTCTCTCCCAAAGCTCCTGCAGCCATTCGTAAAGAGCACCTCAGTTCCAATAAATGCCAGAGTTGTTTATTCAGCCAACCAACAAATACTGATTCCTTCCTCTTGCCAGGCAGACCTGGGCGGGTCTTATTTGGCGTTGGGGAGGCACAAAGCCTGTCTCTGCCCTCAGAAGCGTCCCAGCCTGCTGGGCAGGTAAACACACATCTAAGGATTAGAGCTTTTCTCTTGAGCAGCTACTGTGTATAGGACCCTATGTTCAGCACACAGACACTGCCTCACTAATCCCAACATCCCTGCAAATGGGGTATTGTTATCTCCATTTTACAGACGCAGAAGCTGAGGATCAGAGAGATTAAAGCACTTGCCCACACTGCTTCATAACAGAGCTGGTTTCCACCCAGTTCCTAGACATCCTGGTGTTCTAGGCTGGCATAGAACCTGGTAGAAACACCATGTGGGCAAACATGCTAGGGTTTTACATGAAGGACAGGCTGCCTCCAACAGGGCAAGATCACCGGAGGCTTCTAGGAGGGGGTGTCCTTTAGGTTGGCCCTCAAGGACTGGTAAGAGGCTCACAGGCCGAAATGTCCTGCATGCCTGGGTGAGGTGACAAAGAGAGGGCATGTTCCTTTACTCAGCTGTGTGTCCTGAGCAAGGCTCTCAGGCCTCAGTTTCCTTACCTATAAAATGAACATAATACTTGTTTCACAGAGTAGTCACAAGAAGAAACTTTTTCTTTTTTCTGGTACTGGGGATTGAACCAGGGCTTTCACACTGAGCTGCATCCCCAGCCCTTTTTATTTTTTGTTTTGAAAAAAGATCTCGATATGTTGCTTTTTGTTTGTTTGTTTGTTTGTTTTTGAGATAGGGTTTCACCAGGTAGTCCAGGCAGGCCCTGAACTACTATGTAACCTAGGCCAGCCTCCAACTGGTAGATAGCAATCCTGCCTCCACCTCCTGAATGCTGGGGTTATAGATGTGTGTCACCAAGTCTGGAAAGAATGAACTTCTTTTTGTTACTGTTGTTGCTTTGGTTTTGGTTTTTTGAGACAGAGTCTCACGATGTAATCCAAGCTGGCCTTGAACTCACTGTGTATACCAGGTTGGCTTCAAACTCATGGCAATCCTCCTGCCTCAGCCTCCTGAGTGCTAGAATTACAGGCTTGTGCCACTACACCTAGATTGTTTTTGTTTTAATGTCCAGAGCATTCTTTCCTTAAGCAGAGTCCCTCAGCAGTGATGCTACTGACACCCCAAACCAGATTGTTCTTTGTAGTGGAGGACTGTATTGTGCACCATGGGTCTCTACAGAGATAGATGTCAGTAGCAACACTGAACCAGAAACACTGGGACCTTCGGAACAACCAAAAGATGTCTCCAGAAATTGCCAGAAATTGTCCCCTGAGGTGGTGGCAAAATCACTCCCTGAGGACCACTGCCCTGGAGATACCCTCACAGCCTACTCCTGGCTCCCTCCAACTGCAGGTGCTGTCTGCTCAGTGAGGCCTCCTGCAGTCCCATTTTAAACATCCACAGCTCCCCTCCTCTCCGTTATTCTTTAATCACAGTGCTTTTTCCCTTCTAGCAGAGCAGATCCTTTACTGGTTTGTGTTGTATATACTGTCTGCCTTCTCCAGGGGAATTTTGTGGCTCAAGGACTGGGATCTCTGGCCCTTTTATCCACCGATGATGGGGCTCCAGTCCCGGGACATGTGCTTGTCACACAGCAGGTGTCCCAAGCCTGTGCTGCGTTATGTGAACGGACAAGATGCATAGGCAAACGCTTGATGACACATGGAACCCTCACCGACAGACATAAGGGGTTTCCATTTGGCTTTGGCAGGGCTGGATCTGCCTGGGTGAATGTGTCCTCTCCCACCTCCCCCTCATCCCTACTGCTGATGGAGGGTAGGGAGGCTAAGCAGCTTAAAACAGAATTTTCTCTCTCTTTTTCTCTTGCTGGGACTTGAGTGGGAGTGAATGCGTCAGTGCTGGGGAGAAGGATCTTGTGCTCTGACTTGCATCTGCAGGTTTGTTACATAAAGCAGAGAGGCCACCCGCCCGTCAGAGCCCTGCAGACCCAGTCTTGGGAGCTGACAAAACCAGTCAGCTCCGCCCCCTGCCGGGGAGGCCCTCCCAGGAGAGCCTGGTTGAATGCCCAGTTTTATAGGAGGAGAAACTGAGGCTCAGAAAGACTGAAATAGTGCCCAGTATCTCCCACAAAAGTCAGTGACCACCACTAGGGCAGTTGAGTTCAAGCTGCTAACCAAAGCACCCAGGGCACCCTCTCAGTCCTGCACAGAATTCCCCCACCAGCTTAGTAAAAGGAACCCCCTTCCTCCTCCTCCCTCTCCCAAAATGCCCTCACAGACGCTGGAGCCCATCACCAAGGAGACAATAGCTATATTTAAAGGTGCAGAAGCTGGGACCAGAGAAGGCATGAACCTGCTCAGGGACACACAGCAAGGTGATGGCAAACTCCATCTGACTTCCCATCTCCCAGTGCTCACTGTCCCCAAACACCTCAGGCCTCTGGACACAAGTCAGACAAAGGAAACCAGCAGCAAATTGCTTCCTTTACCCCTCCTGCCCACCCATTCACCCTCCTGCTCCTGATCCTACTGTCTAGTCTGCTCTATGGAGATATCCTGTAAGCTGGGGACTGGTTTTCATTTTTCTAGACTTGCTGTGTGCCCCAAGGCAAAGTGCCACCTTCTCTGAGAGTCAGCCCCCCAGACAGCTGGCCCTCCCTGAGGATAGTGCTGACTCTAGGGGTTCATGGAGGTGGGGCTCCCACGGAGCAGGTGGGTGTGAATGAATCCTTGCTTTCTCTCCTGTATCAAATGCACCAGGTCTCACTGTCTCCTGCCCTACCTGCCGGTTGTGCATCCTCAGGCCAGTTTCTAACCGCCTCTAGGCCTCCATCTTACCCATATCTGGTGAGATGGCTATTCCTCATCCTACGAGATCCTGACACTAGAATGCAAAGGGCTGCAGGGGGGAAGCATTTTGGAAGCTGTGCATGGAGGAGGGAGATAGCGTGATGGGGAGGCACAGGCAGAGGGACTGGAGCTTCAGACCAGCCCGGAAGCAACAGGCCCCGTTCTTCAGCTGAGGTGACCTTGACCTTCGCTCGCCCTGGGTCCCCTATTCTTGGGGGCCTGGATGTCAAGGAAGCAGAAAGTCCCAACTATCCCTAGCCCAGGCCAGGGCTGCAGGTTACACATCAACCCAGGCTGAGAGGACTCAGCCTCCCAGCCTGTTTCCCCTGGAACCTCCCTCGGGCTCCCAGAACCCCCCACCCTCCTGGTACCACACCTGGCACCCTGTGTGGCCCACACCCCCTCCATGCTGCTGTCAGCGGCCACCTTGCTCACTAGCCAGGGAGGAACAGTCCCCTGCCCCCACCCACATGTCCCTGTCCGCCTTCCCCAGGTGGGACTGGGGGCCCAGAGGTCAGGCCTCCAGACAGAGGCGGGGGGCTCCCCTGCCTATCACGCCCAGGCCATGCCCCACTCACCAGCAAGCAGGACGGTCAGATGGCAGAGCACGGCCAGGCGCAGCAGCCCCGACAGAGGTGTGGGAGCCATGGCTGCGGTGGGCGAGGGTCTGCGCGGGGGCCTTGGTTGGTGCTCAGTGCTGTCCCTCCACCACCTGGCTCTGTCACTGCTTCTTATAATGGGCTCGCTGCCTCCGCCCCCGGCTCCGCAGGCGGTGGGAGGGGAGAGGAAGGCAGCCAACAACCGAGCCTGGCACTGGATTCCTCAGGATGTTGCCAAGGAACCAGCTCCGCTCCGCTCCGCTTGCTCGGGAGGGGCCGCTGCAGGGGCCCTGGACAGCTGGCTGCTCACCGTCCTGCCAGTCTGGGACACTGGACCAGGGCCTGCCAGGGTTCAAAGGACCAAGACTCCTCCTCTGTACACAGGCCCTCCCCTGGGGAGCCGGCTCCTGAGTGGACAATAAACAAAAGCCCAGGAGGCAGAGGGACAGAGTGCTGGGTCGCCGTCTGGATCTGGCAAGGTCTTTGTGGCTGTGGGAGGCATCTCTTCTGCATGGTGATGGACTCCAACCTTCACCCTTAAGATTTCAAGCCCTGAACTGTGAGCTCCCAGGACTCATTCACACACACACACACACACACACACACACACACACACACACACACACACACACATCCCCAGAGCCCAGGGCAAAACCTGGCCAAGAATAGGGGGTCAGAGCAGGGTTTGCTGAAAGAGTGGTCCAGTTCCACTTTGTATTACTAGATAGGGAAACCGAGGCTCAGAGAGTGTCCTGGGGACCACTCCAGGTCATACAGAGCCCTGGAGTGGAGGGACCACCTCCCATTGCTACAAAGAAGAGGAGGAGGGATAAGCAGGGTCAGGGACAGCCTAGGGCAGAACAGACAGCCTGTCTCTCCACCTCCACTCCCCAGCCTCCTTTCCTGCAGTGGGAGTCCTGCTAATCCACCAGAAAAGATCACCACCCCTGGGAATCTGGAACTGGAAGAGGTATCCTCACCAAGAGTGAGCTTCGCTGGACTAGGTCTTCCTGAGCTGCCAGCCAGAGGGACAACCAGACTGGGGAACCAACCTGTCCAGGGTGGGCGGGCAGAGCGGTCACGGCCTGGTACCTCTCCCTCTCTCCCCAGCCACCACACCCAAGCTCAGCTGACCACCTGGACTGTGGGCCGGGAGGCTGGATGCTCCTTAAAAGGAGGACTTCCAATGTCCCCCAACATCCAGATCTGTCCCATCCAGTGCAGATAAGAAGCCCAGAAGGCTCCACTTCCACTGCCCAAAGAATGCCTCCTTTTAAGGCTGGGCAAATGGGCCCAGAGTAGGGGCTAGGAGGGATAAAAACAGAGTCTAGAGTGCTCTGTGCTTTGCTGTGTAAGAACAGGAGGAGGAGAGGGTGGGGGTGGGGAGAAGAGAGAGAGGAAGGGAAAGAAGGAAAAAGAGGAGAGAGAAAGGGGGTGGACAGGAGGCGGGAGGAAGAGGAGAGAGGGGTAGAGGAAGCATCTTGAAGGAAAAGATCTGAGGGTAGAGACCCTCCTCCCCCTGGCCCCAGGCTGTGTTCCTTGAAACCATTCAGAAAGCTTTGGGATCCAGCTCTGGTGCTTCTACCAGCTGTGTGGTGTTAGACAGCTTCTCTGCCCCTGAGACTACCTTTCCTCTCTGGAAAGTGGGGAGAGCCACAGTCACCTTCATCTACCCTGGCTGGGCAGTGTAAGCACTTCCGTGGGGCTGGAGTGGTAGAGCTCATGCCTAGTGGGTGTGAGGCCCTGGGCTCTACCCTCAGCACCACAGGAAACAACCCCAAAACTTCTTATGTGTTTTCCACAGTTAACACACATAAATCATCACAACAAAGCCAGGGTATAAAATACCATTCTCAAGGTCTATTTTGCAGATGAGGAAACTGAGGCATGCAGAAGCTAAGAAACTTCTTGAAGATCCTCAGGGAATGAAAAGCCTGGATTTGCCCCAGGCAGCTGGCTCTGGAGCCTGAGCTCAAGACCCCAAGGCTACACCACCCACCCCACCCCACTGTGAGACTGAGGTGACCAGTGCTTTTGGGCCCAGACAATGCCATGACACCAAGCACTCTGTTTGTCCTCCTTCCACCTTGGGGTCATCCCCTGCTGGCTCCAGGCCCAGTTCTTCCTCTGCTGAGAATCAGAATGACCACCTCCACCTATCTCATTAGGGCTAACTGAATTTAGATGAAACTTAGACAAAATAACCAGACCTTGTGCAAACATAACTCCACCACTTATAAGAGACATTGCCTTGGGCGAGTTACTTAACTTCTGTCTGTGTGCCTCAGTTTCCCCTCTTATAACTGATGTTAATGGCCACCACACTAAGCTCTAACAGATGGCACAGGGGGATGAGACCACCGGAGCAGGCTAGTGAAAGCAAAGAGCTACAGACTTTATTCATCTGGGCAGAGGTGGACTAACAGCAGGCAAGAGGCTGCCAGCCCTGAACAAAGAAAAGGTAGAAAGCTCTATAGGGTATTGGAGGAGGGGTCTGGACCGTCTATCACGTGTAGGGGTCAGAGCAAATACTTGTCAGAGCAAATACTCCTTTGGTTGGGGTTCATGAAGCAATCAAGGCACATGTATGGATATTTTCAGGTGACTTGGCATTGAAAAGATGCTACACTCTGTAGTTGTTATCTCTGTTGGAAATATCCCATCCTGTGTTCTGTGTTCTATCTATCAGCTCTGAGACTGCATGGGTTTTGTTGGGGAGAGACAGCACCTGCAACAGCTGCCTGTTTTGTTGTGTTTTTTTGCATCTTGTCAAACCGTAGCTTGTTAAAGAGCATATTTATTAACTGTTTCATGACCAGGTCAAGCCTGCCACAAGCCACTAAGGGAGTGAGTGAAACTAAGAACATTCACAGTGCCGGCACATGGGTGCTATTGGTGCTTGTTATTAAACCTCGGTGTGTGCCTGACGCTGGGCACAGGGCAATCCAGAAGCAGATGGGCTGGAGTCCCTGCTCCCCAGGAGCTCCCAAAAGGTCTCCAGGGACTCCAGGGCTGCAGGACCGGGGCCACGAGAGGGATGCTGCTTCAATCTCAACAGGACCAGAGGAATTTTGGTTCTATGAACATTTCAAACAATACTGAAGAAAGAATGGCACAAAGGATTCTCATTTCTACTGCCAAGACTCAATGACTAACATTTTTCCATATTTGTTTGCTTGGGGTTTTTTGCCAAACTATTGCAAAATAAATTAGGGCTGCTTTCCTCTAAATAGTTTGGCATGCATCTCCTACTAAAATGACACTGTTATCACACCTGACAAAATTGACAGTAACTAATTGTCATCTTGTTACCAGTTTAGGGGTGCTGGAGTCTCCTTCTGGAGGTGGTTTCTAGGTTCTTTCTGTCCTGAGCAAAGAATTGCTCAAGATAAGTGTATATGGTAGCAAAGTTTTATTCAAGGTAGGAAAAGAAAGAGGCTCTGCAGAGTGAGTAGGAAAAAAGTTCACAGTATAGCATGAGGGTGGGCCACCATGCAAGAGAGAACACACTGGCAAAAACTCAATGGTGACTGTCGTTTTTGTATCACCCACTTCTCAGGCCGATGTCAGATCTAGGCCATCCTATCAAAAACTTGCTCGAGTTTTACAAGAAGTCCACAGGCAGGGCTTTGGGAACAGTTCTGCACATATGTCCTGGAATTTTGTAATTAACAGGTCACAACTACTTCCCCAGCCAATTTTGCCATGCTCTAATCTGTCTCAATCTAATACCAATTCAAATTCCAAAATTTCTAACTGTGCCCCAAAATGTATTTTATACTTTCTTCTCCCTCCTTCCCTCCCTCTACCTGCCCCCTTTCCTTCAATCCTTCTTTTCTTGCTTTTATTTTTTTGAACCATGATCCAATCTAGGCTCATGAATGGGATATGGTTTATTTCCTTTTAGTCTTTTTAGATTACCTACTCTTTTTTTTTTCTGGTACTGGGGATTGAACTCAGGACCTTGTGCTTGTGAGGCAGTTGTGGTGCCACTGAGCTAAATCCCCGGCTCTACCTGGTCATTTTTGATAATATTGACCTTTTTTTTGGAGGGTGGTATGGCTTCCGAGCTACATTCTCAGTTCTATTTATCTGTCTGTCAGTCTATTTATTTCATTTATTTATTTTTATTTAGAGACAAGTTCTTGCTAAATTGCCTAGATTGGCCTCACACTTGTAATACTCCTGGCTCAGCCTCCCACATAGATAAGATTATAGGCACTTGGTTGATCCTGAACTTTTGAAGAGTCACCACCATTGTGTTATACAATGTTCTATTCTTAATTTATTGTTGCTTTCTTGTGAGTCATCTGATTTGTTTCTCTATCCCATGCATTTCCTGTAAACCAGCAGTTACATCTACAGGCTGGATTAGCCAGGCTACACTCCCGCAGCAAGGATCTGTTATGAGTAATTGTGTCCACTTGCCACTGTACCAATGGGAGGCACACACCACAGGTTGCTCTGCTGTTTGGGATGGATGGGTTGATAGGTGGCTGATAACTTCTTCCCAAAGAAATACCATTCCCTTGTGATTCACCAGTAAAATGAGCAGGCAAAGCTGAACCCTGCAAGGTGTGCAGAGGCAGGATTTGCTGGACCATTTCAGGAAGAGGGAAAACACTACCCAAGGTGGGGGTCATGGGACCCAAAGAGGGCATGGGAATGGTCTGGTGACACTGGCTCCCAGGAAGGGGTCATTTGGAGACTGCAGCTGGACCATAGTGTGGAGGGTTCTGTGGAGTGAGGAAGGAATGCAGAGCAGGAGTGGGAGGGCCCTGAGTGAGAGAAGTAGGAAGCCCTGCAGAGGAGGAGGAAGGTTTAGGGGTGGGTCTGGGAGTGGGGATGTCCCTACCCACACCTTCTATAGCCCTGGGGTGGCTGAGACCCTGTCCAGGTGCCTGGGCTGTGCCTGGAGGACAGAAAGCATCCCTCCCCCAGACCTAGGAGCAGGACAGAAGTAGTTGTGGAGAGGAGGGCGGGGAGCTAGAGGTGCTCCAGCAGGGTCTGGGGAGGAAGAAGGGATGGGATGACCCTCCTGCCTCACCAGGGAGGACAGCCTTGCATCACTCCTCCCAACCCAACTCTGCCCAAATAATAAATGTTGTGTATTCCCTTGAGTGCTTATTTGCTATTTGAATATCTTCTCTGGGGAAAGATCTATTCACGCCCTTTGCCCAGTTTAGTTATCGGGCTGTCTCTTCCTTTCTTTCTTTCTTTCTTTCTTTCTTTCTTTCTTTCTTTCTTTCTTTCTTTCTTTCTTTCTTCTTTCTTTTTCTTTCTTTCTTTTTTTTGACCTAATTTCAAAAATATGTTTATACTTCATTCTGACTTGCAATTTTTTATGTGTAAATATATTTTATTGGCACATTTTATATATATATATATATAGAATGATAACATTCATCATAGGGAATTTGTAACTGTACGTGATCTTTCTCTCTTCCTCCTCCCTCTTCCCCTCCTCTTCTTCTTCTCCTCCTTCTCCTTCGCCTTCGCCTTCTTCTTCTTCTTCTTCCCCTTCCCCTTCCCCTTCCCCTTCCCCTTCCCCTTCCCCTTCTCCTTCTCCTTCTTCCTCTTCCTCTTCTTCTCCTCTTCTTTTTTGGTATGGGGGATTAAACCTAGGGCCTTTGCACTGAGCTACATCCTCATCCTTTTAAGGATGCAGGGTGGGCAGTGTTTCACTAAGCCTCTAAGTTGCCCAGGCTTGGCCAAACTTACATTCCTACTGCAGCCTCCCAGAGTGCTGGGATCACAAGCATGCTGCACTGTGCCCGGCTGTTCTCTGTACTGTATCTCTTGGGATGCTCACAGCTATACACACTGATAGACGCTTTTTTGCCCCTTGTTCACAGAGAGAAAAACCAAGGCTCAGGAAGAAAAACCTTGCTCTGGACAACAAGTAGGGAGAATTCTCATGTCTTTCTAAATCCACAATATGTGCCATTCCAGCTGCTTATTCCTGGCAAACACACTGCCTGGCAGAGCAACTCCCCTGGAAATTCCATTGCAAGGCAGATAAGAAGGGGAACAAAGGGCATATGTGACAAGATGTGTGTGAAATGGGCGCTCACACTCAGGAAGTAGTGGAGGCAACCAAGGGCAGAGGGCTCCTGTTTTATTGTGTTGGCAGAGAAAGCTGTATCTAGTGACTCTGGGGAAGGGTGGTGGCCCAAGGAGTGTTAACAATCCCATGAGAGTCCAACACCAGGTGAACCAGGTGATTTCCAACTTGCCTCTTCTTCCTCCTGGACAGTCTGGTTGTTTTTCCCAGCGTCCCTTGCAGACATGGCGCCCAATAGCATGTGGCAGATGGGTGAGCAGACCTTCCTGGCAGGTCTTATCAAATCCTTCCACAATTGTCCATCTACTTTGCCCGTTTGTGGGTGGTGAGAGAGTTCAAACTGTAAAGGGGAGTGGCTGTTATGGTTTGGAGATATCCCCAAAGCCCTAGGTACTACAGGCTTGGTTTCCAGCCCTTGGTGCTACAGGAAAGGTAGTAGAACCTGTAGGAGGTAGGGTCTGGTGGGAGGAAGTGAGGTTGTAGGGGGTGTTTCCTTGAAGGGCATATTGGGATCTCAGCCCCTTCCCTTCTTTCTCTGTGTCCCTCTTTCCCAGCCACCACATGGAGCATAGCGCTCCTCTGCCACATGCTTATTCCGTGATGTACTGTGCTACCAGAGGCCCAAAGTGACAGAGCCCAGAAACCACGGACTGAAACCTTCTGAAGCTGAGCCAGAACGAACCTTTTCCTTTATTAAGTGCATTTTCTCAGATATTTTGTCAGAACAACAGAAAGCTGACTAACACAGCAGCCATGATAAGGAAGGAGGGCCCTGGAAGGATGACCACATGGAAGGCTACCTACAGAACAGGAATGCTGGATTTGACTTTATGTGGGAAGGAAACACTGCCATTGAGTTGAGCTCATGAGATTTGGAGTTGTTTGTCAAAGGAGATAGACTTTCCTGACAATTCTCCCCCTTATTTCCTAGAACCTACCCTTGAAGGAGGAAATTTAGGTTGAGCTAGTGAATGAATATGCTCTGCTTCAAGCTCTAGACCTGGGTTCCCTCCAAATCCTCCTGTTAGCTGGTCCTGGGGTTGGTTGGGCCTGGAGGTTGGAAGCTCTGAAGCCAATGCCTGGACCTCCCTGTGGCACCTGTGTGGCTGTCCCCCAGACCTTTGTGTCCATCACAGGATGACCTTGGGTGATTCATCTCCTAGTTAAGTGTTAAAGCCTCCCCAGTGGGGGAGAGAGGGAGCTGTGGTGCACCCTGCCTCATCACACAGGGACCACAGATGCCAAGGAACCAAGGCAGACACTGTTTAAAAAGATTATTTTCAGAAAGCCTGAGAGGCAAGGGTGAGACAGGAGGGGATGTGGGTCCCAGGACACTTGGGAGCTCCATTCATGGGCAGTGGGCAGGTGAGGGTCAAAGGCTTGGAAGACCTAGAGCTATGTGGCTGGTACAGGGTGCACTTTGGACCCAAGCCCTTCGATAACTGTGAGGTGGCTATTCTTACCTTCCTTTGTCACATGAGGCTCAGAGAAGTGGCATGGCCTACTCAGGGTCCCATAGTTTCAACCACCCTGCTGAGCTGCACGAGGCTCCCTCAGAAAGAGCAAGCATTGTCAAATTTATTCCCTTTACACGGAATTTTGTCACAGAAGTTTGGACACAGCTGTCCAAAATTCCAGCTCTTATCCTGGCCCCAAACACCCGAGAACAAGTTTCACCAGGCTCCTTCACTTTACCACACACATAGCCGCCCCACCGTAGCCAGCTTCCAGGACAGTGCCACCTTGTCCCCTCCCACATGCTTCCTCAAATTCTCCCATTTATCCACTTGGCCTCTTAACTAATTACCCTCTTTTCATATATAAATAAAACTGGAGCTTATAATACCATGCCAGGGTCATCACTGACACCATGGCATGAATTTGGTTATTAGCTGTTTAAGGAAGGAGGCAGGGGAAGCAGACTTGGGTGAATTCTGAAGAGGTCAGGCCTGAATGCTGGAGGCTGGAAGACCAATACATTCTGAGGGAAGAAAAAAAAAAAAGCAAAAGCAAACAATGCATAGTTAAAATGGGGAAGACGGGTGACTCTGGGCAAAATGGGAATTCACAACTGACCCAGCTTCTCCTTTCTAGTGAGATGGGTCTCTCTATTGAGAAATAAGGTGTTTTTTTCTTTCTTTTGGAGGAGGACACGTTACTTTTATTGATTCAGTCTGTAGCCCCTTGCAGAGCTCCCTGATCCTGAGCCAGGCCTGTGCTCCGTGCTCTACACTGGAGGCCAGGAGAGAAGAGTAACAAAGATGGGGACCTGGGTCTGAAAAGTGGGGCTGGAGGGCGGGCCCTTAAAGCCTGAAAATTCTGAGCAGACTGTGGTCAGGCCTGATATGAGTAGGCTGAAGGCCAGGGAAGTCTAGAAAATGTCTTGATTAGTTGGGCTGAGCAAACCCTGGAAGTGCAAGGGACCTGGCCACGTGCAGGTAGCAAGAACAGCCCTGGGAAAACCCCAAAGTAGAAATGGGTAGCGTTGGTTTGGAGAATGGGAACCTGGAGGCCAACATGCAGGAAGGGAAGGGGAGCCAGGCTGGGCACAAGGAGGGCACCCAGATGTGGAGGGTCAGGGCCAGGGGAAGGGTCTGATCTCTTCTAGAGCAATGGGAGTCAGGAAGTGGCTGAACAAGACGTGAACCCTGGGTGCAGTGGGACAGAGGAGGGGCTGGGAGGAAGCCCTGTAGAGGCCAAAAGCTGCAGGGACAGAGACAATAGGGCTCAGAGAGAGTTGCTGGCACAGGCTTCTGTGGGGAGCAGCTGTAATGAGAGAGAGGTAGGGCTTGGCGAGCCTTCCTGGAGAAGCCAGGGCATGGTCATCATGGTGCTTCCTCATGAGCTCAGCTTCTGGAGAATCTTCTTTACCCAGGGCAGTTTGGGGTTGGCACAGATCTCCCGGTCCTTGACGGTTTGTAAGCTGGAGGGAGGAGACGCAGGAAGAGACGTGCCAGCATTAGCATCCAGCGAGGATGTGAGCTTTGCATTTATGAGCCACCTACTGTATGCAGGGCTTCAGCATTAGTGGATTACTGGGTCACTTCCTGTATGTGGGAAGCTGCTTTGTAGAGTGGTCTAAACCGTATAAGCCACCTACTGTTCACAGGCCTCAGCAGTTTAGTCACCTGTTGTATGTAGGAGGATGTGCTATGTAGAGTGGTTCAAAATTTATAAGCCCCCTGCTATATGCAAACCCTATTTCTCAAGGGGAACAAGAGGATGGGAATAGCAAGGATCCTTCAGGACCCCAAGGACTTTCAGGACCCTTAGGTCATCACTTCCAGCTTTGAGAGCTTGGCCAGGCCATGATTTAGGATCCCCAGGAGTCTCATAATATCACTGTCATTGTCTTGGGAAATAGAGTATCAGGTAGTGGCCAAACACATGGACTCTGGGGCCATCTATCGGGATTCAAATGCTAGCTCTGCCACTCATTATTAACTCACTTCACTTATCTGAGCTTCAGTTTCTATGTCGGTGAAATGAGTATGATATTCCTAGTCTAACCTTATGGGACACTGATGACGTTTTTATGAGTTAATGCACACTAAAGTCTCAGAAAAGTATACGCTACTAAGTGCTACAGCACACTGTAGGTGCTATATAATTATGCCAGCAGCTAGCCTGAACTTTTTATGTAGATTTTCTTAATACTTATATTCAACCCATTTATAGCCCCTATTATTCAAACCATTGTATAAGGAAACTGAGGCCCACAGAGGTAAGGCAGCTTGTCCAAGTACCAGGCCTGGTGAGATCTGAGGCATCATGTGGGGAACCCAGAATGTCCTGGGCAGTGCCCTTGGAAAGTGTCCCCTCCTCCAAGCCCCTGCATGGGAGGAGAGGGGGACTTTGACCAGGGACCACACAGCGAGTTGCAGGCTGAGGCTCTTGCCAGCACCCACAGCGGTAAACACCATATCAGGCCCAAGGCACTGAGTTGCTGTGCCAGGCAGTGAGCTCTTCACCTCTCACTTGCTGCTATGGGGCCCTGCAGTGCTAAGGAGGCCTTAACCTGTCTTTTCTGTCTCCTCACCATGAAAAGCAGACCGGTTGATACCTACTGCACAGGGGTGCTTCTAGGAGCTCATATTTCTAAAGGGCTGACCACAGAGCCTAGCACGTAGCAAGCACCCTCTGTGTTCAGAATGTGTTCAAGCACTCTCTGATCAGAATGGACTTGCTCAAATAGTTCCGACACTGGGGAGGTCTAAGATGCTTCTGGCAGCAGTGGCACCAGGGAGGCTGCCCATACCAGCACCCTACTCTGTAGCCAACAGCCTGCAGCTACAGACTGTCCACACCGCCATGACCACGCTGGGCGGCACCTTGTGCATTCAGCTCTGCGGCCTCAGCCTAGCCTGCTGCCTGGCACATAGTAGGCATTCAGTCATATTTGTCGAACGATCCCACCCATTATATTTGTTATTGGAACATTGAAGATGGGGTGGAGCCATCTGTTCCAGCCAGGCCTCCATGAAGAGCCCTAGCTGCTGCTCCCTCCCTTCTCCAGGTCTGTCCCACTTGGACACCACACCCACCAAGGTCCCATGGTCGGCTCCCTACTCACACGATGCCAGTCCTACGGCAGGAGCCCGAGGTCCAGTAGAAGTCCTTCACCACGCGAAGCGGCAGGGGGTGGCGGACGAAGTCCCGGCAGCAGATGCTGTCCTCCACATTGGCGCCATACGGCCCTGGAGGAGAGGAGTAAAGGGTCACCTTTGGCCACAACCCCCAGTCACTAGGCTCTGAGGAAGAGCTTCTGTCCCCAGTGGAAAGATAGTGACCAGAAGATTTGGGGCCAGCAAAAACCCTAGCGTTGGGGCCTCTGGGAAGCCATGAAAGCATCAATGTCTGCATTCTGGGAGGTCTGCTACAGGCAATAGATTGAAAATGAGCATCAACAATGAACTTCTAGGTGGGTTTGGCAGCTCAAACTTGTAATCCCAGCACTTGGGAGGCTGAGGCAGGAGGATCTCTGTAAGAGGCCAGCCAGAATATAGTGAATTCAAAGCCAGCCTGAACCACATAGTGAGACCCTGTCCCAAAAATCCAAAAGCCAACCAAACAAACCCCAATAAGCTCTAGATGGGTTTCAGCCTCTCTGAGCCAGACACAGAGCCTTAAATTTTGCTGCTGTTCAGGCCTCAGCCCCAGGCTCACAAATTCTATGTGCCTTTTTTTGGAGTGGTACTGGGAGCTTGAACTACTGTCCATCCTCAGCCCTTTTTAAATTTTATTTGGAGACAGAGTCTGGCTAAGTCATTAAATGGCCCATGCTGACCTTGAACTTGTGATCTTCCTGCCTCAGCATCCAGAGTAGCTGGGATCACAGGTATGCACGACTGTACCTGGCCATGTGCTCCCAATGTAATATTTGGGAAGTTTGCTAAGCTCCCATCTACTCTCGCCTGCTTCCTCATATAATGGCAAGGCTGTGGTCCAGAGAAGGGGCAGCACCTGTTCAAGGTCACACAGCAAGGCTGGGGCAGGACGAAGGGGCAGATGGGGACAGCTCCTCAGGCCTGGACGCTAGTCCTGCTCTGTCCTGAGTTGCTGGGCCACCATGGCCATGACATTTAACATCTCCAAGGCCCAATCTCCTGCCCCAACCAAAGCTCTAAAGCAACAGTGATTTGGAGATCTTTCACACATTCTGAAAGCCGGGAGGCACTCAGAAAGCCAGTGCCTGTGCACAGCATGTTCTGGCTGTTGCCTCCCCCTCTAGTGCTCGCTCCCCAGCCCAGCTCCTATTGGGGGAGTCTGCGGTGAAGAGGACCCAGTACCCAGGTAAGGACAGGATCCAAGCAAAGGTCCCCCACACAGGTCCATCTTCCCCACTTAGGCCTGACCTCAGGAACTCTGCATCCCCACATCTCCAGGCCCTGCCCCCTGACAATGCCCGACCCAGCTGAGCCAAATCCTAGACACCAAGCCTTTAAGACTACCCATTTAACAGATGTGTAAACTGAGGCCTAAAGAAGCACCATAACTACCCCAAGTGCCACAAGAGCCAATGGGAGACTGGGATCCAGTACCCTTGCTAGGAGAAGAGGAAGACACCCTGGTCCCCAGCCTCACCTGCGTTGGTTGCCTGAAGCATCACCGAAAGGAAGACGAGGCCGGCCAGGAGTGGAGCCTGTAGGCCGGCCATGCTGAGCTGTCCCAGTCAGGGTGCCAGATGGCCAGAAGACAGGCAGGCCTGGTATTTAAGCGCTCACTCCACCCACTGGGCTCAGACATCTCTTAGTCACCTTGAGCCCGGAGTCTCTGACATTCATGTCATGAAAGGAGAAGTCCCCGCTTCCTATGAATAGAAATTCTCTGGTGGGGAACCACTCCGAGGGGACCCCCATCCTGGTCTAACTCTCAGTCTCCAGAGACTTGTAAAATCCCCCTTGAGCTGGGCCTCCTAAAGACCATGTCCCCATGGTCTGCCTGCTGCATGGCCTCGGCCCCACACTGAGGCCCCTGGCATGGGCTTCCCCAGGTGCCAGGGGATGCGGTGCAGCCTGACCCATGTGCCTCAGGGGTTATCTGTGAACCAAGTGTGGACATGGATGAATGCCCACCTCAAATCAAGGGCTGTCTGGTACCTGGATGACCGGCGTCCCATCTCTCCTCAAAGATAGAGGCCGCTGGACCATGCCGCTGGTCTCTGCTACCTCACTGGCCTCTTCTGGGGTTTCTCACAAAGTCCCCGCCTGCCTGGGCCATGCAGCAGCTTGTGTAGAGCTTCCGCCTTCCTCCCCGCCCCCTCCTCAAGCTATGGCAGGTCCCACTGACTCTGCTGTTGAACTCTCCCTTGGCTCTGTCCTCTTTCTCCTTCCACACTGCCCTCACCTCAGGACTGGACTGCCCTTGACTCCCTCCCTACACTTTGGCAGCCTGCAAGAATGGTCCAGACTCAAAGCTGCACACCCCTCTCTCCTGCCCCACAGCCCTGCTATGGCTCCCATTCACCTGAGAGCAGAGCCTGGGCTCCTGGCTGTGGCCTTCAGGGCCTCTTTTTCTGACACCCCTTACACCCCCAAACACACACAGTCTCCATTCTCTTAGTGATCACATCACACCATTCACAGTTCCCCAAAAAGGTCTGTGGCCTGGTGGTGAATTCGACTTTCTACTTCTCTACCGCATAAACTCCTACTCATGCGTCAAGAGCCATTTGAAATGTCACCTCTTAGATAAGCCCACCCCCTCAGGACCACACACTTCCCAAGTGACCCAGACTTGGCCTTGAGCAGGCCATGTCGTGCTTTCTCTTCTAATTTTTTTTTTTCAGTACTGGGGATTGAACTCAGGACCTTGCACTTGTGAAGCAGGTGCTGTGCCACTGAGCTAAATCCCCAACCCCCCATGCTTTCTCTTCTTCAGGCTTGTTCTCAGATGTGGAATTCCAAACTTTTGGAAGATGAGTCTCTCCTTTTATTTTTCTTGGCATTCCTGAGTGCCTTCCAGGAATCAGACAGGTGGTGGGGGCTCAGAACACAAATATGAATGTGGAAACTGAAGCTTGGCACCAGAAGGGACGTGTCCAAGGTCACACAGCTGCACAGTGCCTGAGCCGGGCCTGGAAACTGCAGGATTCTATTCTTAAGGAGACCCAATCATCCATTATTCATTTGCTCAACAAACTATTTACTGATCCCTGTGGTAGACTAATAGTTCTCTAGAAATGCCCACAATTTGACCCCCCAAACCTGCAAATATGGCACCTTCCATGAGGAAAAGGCCTCTGCAGTGTGATTAAGCTAAGGATCTTCCAACAGGGAGATGTCCTGGCACCAAGGGCAGACGGGATGACTGAGTAGAGGATGCAGGAGGCCTCGAGGGGCTGGCAAAGCTGAGGAAGCAGAGTCTAACCTAGGGTCTCCAGAAGGAACCGGGCTGGCCAGTGCCTCCATTCCACAAGGCTGCTTTCAGACTTCGGGCATCCTGCACTATACCATGAGAAACGTGGGTCGCTTAAGCCACTACATCTGTGTAGTTTGTCACAGAAGCAAAAGAAGACGAAGACAAGAATCTACTGTGTGCCAAGTGTGCTTCCGAGAGCCAGGCACGCAGCCCCAATCTGGAGAGCAGAGGTCCCGGCTTTCCTGGCACTGGCCTTCAAGACAGGCAACAGGCAACTGCCAACCCAGGGCTGTGATGAGGGCCATGGAGAAAATGAAACAGGGAAGCACAGGCAGACAGAGGGGAAGCAGCTCTGCTAGGCTGGTCAGGAAAGGCCTCGGGACAGTGACATTCAAGCTGAACCCACAAGGTAGGAAGGAGGCTGCCAGGAAGGAATTGGTGAGAGCAAAGGCCCTGGGGGTGAGAGGGTGATTGACCAGGGCAGCCAGATAGGAGAGGCTGGCAAGCAGGGTCCCCCAGGTGGCCCATGAGCCCCTGCATAGTATGCAAAGTGAAGGGCACAGCATGTCCTCGGAGGACCTCTTGTCCCCAGGGCCAGGCACAAAGGACAAACCCATTCCATTGCTGAGCTCCCTACACAGCCAAATCCACACAGACAGAAGTGGGGTGGGGTGGCCAGGGCTTGAGAGGAGCAGCAGCAGTTAGTGTTTAATGGGGACAGAGTCTCAGTTTTGCAAGATACCAAGTTCTGGAGATGGATGGTGGTGACAGTTGCACAACAGTGTGAACGTGCTTAGTGCCACTGCATTGTACACTTAAAAATGGCTGAGGCGGTAAATGGCTGTCATGCATATTTTACCCATAAAAGCAGTGTCCCTCTAGACAGGCATGGTGGTGAACACCCATAATCATAGCATGCAGCAGGCTGAGGCATGAGAATTGCAAGTTCAGGTCCAGCCTGGACTAAAGGGAGAGATCTGTCTCAAAAATTTAAAAATTAAAAATTAAAAAACTTTAAGGTATTTCCTCCCCCCAACACACAAATTGAATCAAGGCTCTAGTACTAATCTGCAATTTAAAAAAAATACAGGAATTATGAGATAAATGAACCCACAATCACACAACCTAGAAAGTGGGATGGACCTCCAGACTTCCCCTGAGACAACTTCCTGGAATCATTAAAAAGTTAATACTTAGGGCAACCCACTTGGGACCCCTCTTGTCTTTCAGGAGCTATTCCTATTCCCCATTCCTATTCCCCAATAAAAAATTAATACTTAAAAAAAAAAGAAATAACATGGATAGGATATTGGACTAAAGGAGATTTAAGAGACTTAACAACCAAAGCAATATGCAGAAGTCAATCAAATTCTAGTGTTTTTTTTTTCTTTTTTCTTTCTTTCTTTTTTTGAAGACAGGGTCTTGCTGTGCAGTTCAGGCTGGTCTTGAACTCACTATGTAGCCCAGACTGGCCTCAAATTCACGGTGACTCTCCTGCCCCCGAATGCTGGGATTACAGGCATATCCCACCATGCCCAGCCCAAATTCTAGTTTTGAAAAATTCTTGTAAAACAACTTTAGCGGAAAATTGGGGAAATTTGAGTAGACTTGATATTCGGGCTTTATCATTAATTTTCTTAAGTGCATTAAAGACTTTCCTTTTCAGTGAAATCCCTGGGATTTCACCCAGGGCCTTTGCACTGAGCTGCATCCCTATGTCCCTAGCCCTATTAAAAAAAAAGTAAGATAGGGTCTTGCTAATTTGCCCAGGCTGTTCTTGAACTAGTGATCCTGCTGCCTCAGCTTCCCAGAGCACTGGGATTACAGGCATGTGCCACCACACCCAGCTAAAGACTTTAAGGGTCTATTGGAGGATGGTCTTGTTCTTAAGAGATGCACACTGAAGAATTTTGAGGTGAATGTCATTACGACCTTAATTTTAAGGAAAAATGTATGTGTATAGGGAAAAATATATGGTGCATAGATGCAGATCTATTTTTATATATATATTTGTGTGTATCCTTACATTTGGTTGTCACGTGTATAGATATAGTGATGTGTATATAGTATGGCGTATGCATATAAATGTATGTGACTAGCATGTATACGTGCGATACATGTGTGTGTGAGTGTGTGTTCTGGGCACCTGGGATAGAACACGGGACCTTGCGCTTGCAAGGCAGGTGGCGGCACCACTGAACTAAATCCCTGGCCTAGTGTGTGTTCTACAGAGAGAAAAGGACAGACAAAAACAAAAATGGTTAAGTGGACATTACAATTGTTGTCCAGTGGTAGATGTCCTGGTGATCACTGAACCACTTTAAGAACTTGGGGCCAAAAGAAGAAATATCTTGGGCTGGGGATTTAGCTCAGTGGCACAGCGCCTGCCTTGCAAGCGCAAGGTCCTCAATTCGATCCCTGGTACCAAAAAAAAAAAAGAAGAAGAAGAAGAAATATCTTTTAAATGTGGAAGTCATCCTGTGAGCAGAGAGCTGTCACAGGAGGATTGTGAGTGGGTGACAGAATTGGCTGGTGGTTCTTCTATGGAACCTGGGGCTTTCTTACAGGGCCCTTAGGGCTGAGGCCCCCTTAGGTGGGCCCTGGGGGTCCCCCCTGGAGAGCACCTGGGTCCCCAGGGCCTTGGCAAACCCCAGGCCTCTCCAGCTGGCTCATTCTTTGCAGCAGTGCTTGTCCCCACCCTGTGTTCTGGACTTGAAGGATGAAAACCATACCTGCAGGTCAGCGGGCTCTCCTCCCCAGCATCCCTGGCCTCCCTGGAGCTGGTGTGTAAGAAGCCCTGGGTCCCTGGATGGGGCACCAAGGACCAGCTATCAAAGAAAGGAAGAATAATTGCTCTTGGGGCTGCAGGTGAGGAGCCACTCAGATGCTGACGACAGGGATGTTTGCTTCCTCCTGTTGCTGGCTCCTCCTGTTACTCCTGTGCTCCCTGCAGGGCATGGACCTCTCCCAGACCTGATCCTTTTTTCCCGTCTTCCTTCTTCTTCTCTTTTATTTTATTTTTTTTTTGGTACTGGGGATCGAACTTGGGACCTTGCGCTTTTGAGGCAGGCAGCAAAACCACTGAGCTAAATCCCCAGCCCTCTTCTTCTCTTTTAAATTAGCTTTTGTTTGTTAAGACCTACAAAACTGGGTACAGTGCCACATGTCTGCAGTCCCAGCTACTCAAGAGGCTGAAACACTTGAGCCTGAGAGTTTAGAGTTATGTTGGGCAAAATGAGCCCCCATCTCAAAAATAAATAAACAAACAAATAAAGGAGCATAAAAGTGGTAGCACCCTAATGTCCATGGACAAAGGAAATGTACAGCATAATATGGTGGAATATTGCTCGCCTCAGAAAAGGCTGGAAAGTCTGATGCATGGATGAAACTTGAGGGCATAGTGCTAAACAAAATAAGCCAGTCACAGAAAAGACAATTACAGGATGATTC